GTCCACAACCTGCAGGACGATATAAATTAGTGTATTAGTATAATATTATAACATTAAATAAAAAGACTAATGTTCATTTAATAGTTTACTGTAATCATTATAATTTCATGTAATGGTGATATATTTAGCTTAATTCCAGTTGGACAATAGAACAGTTTCCTTTTTTTTGGTTGTTTTGATTCATTAAATCCTTTTGCAAAAAATAAAGGTGTATATAGTGGTTAGTCTCTAATTTGTTAATGCTAACTTTTCAATGACCATAGCCATGATCTGAAATAAACTTTGTTCACTGCTTCATGTTAGCTTCGCAGCAGCAGGTGTAGCGGCAGTTGCTAACCACAACCTAGCTAACGTTAGCTACATTACTTGCTGTGTTGTTTTTTGCTCTATATCATGATATTTGACATGGAGTTGGATTTCTCCATCATCACTTACTCCACCTTCAAGGGTGCACCTGGCTAATGTCTGTCTGAACAAAACCAGAGAGTGTTGTGCCCACATCTTTACAGAGACCTCCATCAACATCCCAAGATCAAGCAGTCGTCGGGCAGAGCGTGTTCCAGAGCTGACAGAGTGCAGATGAGAGGAGGGGCCTCTGTCTCCATCGATGATGCTTAGTGCTCAAACGCAGTCAAAGTAGATGGACAGTGGTGGTTTCCCAATTGTCAGACTTTTTATGTAAAGACGAAATCACGTTATCATCACTATGTTTGTACTGCTGCTAACATGCTAGCAGAAGGAAAATAAAAAAAGTGCACTGCATTGTTTCCAGTGTGTATACGTGTATGTATATATGAATATAAATACATAACTGTATGGGTCTATATATTCTTTTATTTTATTTTATGTTATCCTATTCTAATATAAATGTAATAATATGTTATGTTATGTGTGTACCATGAAGGGACTACAAACATTCATAGCCTTGTATGATGATAAATAAATTACCTCGATCCTTTAACCTTGATTTCAGTCTGGAGTGCAGATGAATGTGTGTGCATGGCTGGGGTAGAGCTCATGGGGCCTGCTTATTTTACTGTGAGCATTTGTTTTGTCTTCCAAATACATTTAGCTACCCTGGGTTTTTGTTTACAACCTGCCTTATCGTCTGACTGCTCCTGTTTCCTGCCCTATTGGACCTATTTCAAGTGAAGTAGCCGGGTCCTGAAATCTCAGCAATTACTTTGGTGAGTACAATTTATTTATTACTGACAAATAATGATAATAATGATAAATAACAGATTTTCTTCATTTCAAAAAGCATTTTGCTACTGTTTATACTTTATTTATATATATATTTTTAAAACAATGTCTTACACTACAAATCTATGAGCCGTAACAAAGTATATACACAAAACATAACATTGGAGGTTTATAAATGTGGACTTATAGACACATACCCAAAGTGCACAAAATTAGTTCTTGATGTTTTTATATATATATATATATATAGCAGCTCTGAATTGACTAATGCGTTGCTGTTCTTGTGTGGATGCAGAAGTATGTTTGTGTGTGCACAATGGATAAGAAATGATATCTTAACTCTTTCCACAATGAGCTCACTGAAACACACGTGCCTTGTGTATTTGTGTGTGTTTGTGTGTGATGGAATAATTTAACACACACTTGGACCCACAGTCTGGTTCCCATGGTGTTAGTAGTGGTAGCGGTGCAGTGCAGGAGATATGAATGTGTGTTATGTGTGTGTGTCAGAGAGAGGTGCCTGTGTTATCAGCAGAGCAGTAGGAAGGTTATGCTACACTAACAGGAATGTCTCTCATCAGTCCTGACACAGTCCAGCTGTCTCTCTTTCCCCCTCTCTTTCACTCTCTCTCTCTCACACTCGCACACACAAAACATACAATTAACAAATTAACATACACATTTACAATATAAAACTATAAAATATAAAGTGGAATTCATGCACACTCCCCTATGATGTAACTCACTCACTATGCTGCCATGACTGACCACATAAACACACCAAAATCTGCAGTTTGGGAGTCCAACTAGATCCAAAACACACGGCCCATCAGTGTGCACAGCCAGCAGCATTACTACGTGGCAGAATCACAGCTGAAAACAACATTGAAAATACTGACAGACTGATGTAGATCATTTGTTACAGGTAAAAACTAAAAATGTACGGCAAAGATAAAAGACACAAATCGATGTTTTGGCAAAACTAATGGTCATTTGGAGTTCTCCACTTTTCTTACAGCAACTGAGTTTGATTCAGAGTTGTATCTTTTTTACTATATGACCATTTGTTTTGTATTTATGAGAAGAATAAAAGGATCAGTGTAAATGTGTCTCAGCTATACATTTACGTTACGTTGGCAGTGTTGTTGGTTTAATCTCATGGTCTGTGTGCACCCAGACAATTTGGCCCCAGCATCAAAGATTATGCATCAACTCTATATCCACTTGTATGTGTTATTACATGTATTGATGGGCTGCGTTTTGTGTATATTGTAGTATGTGTGCTGCAATAAACACAGTTGCAAGTGTTGTTTCATTCATGCAATGTTTCATTTAAAAAAAGGACTATTTTTTGAACGAACTGAACCGAATCACTTCTTGAAACAATCCGTTCATTTCTCAGTCAGTTCAGTGAGCAAACCTGCAGGGATACACTCTCACTGAGTGAGCGATTTAAGTTCATTTGTTCACTGGAGTGGACTTTACTGTGTTCAGATACACAGCTCGGGCTGCTAACATTTAGCTACAATGATTCAACGACATTGGTCTGGACTGCAATCCAGATATATATCACACAATCTAGATTGATGCGTAAGGCCAGCAATATGAAAAAACATCTTAACATTGGCCATCCTCAAGTGATGTATGACTTTTTTGGTCCCTTTCTGAAACTACATTTGAGTCACATTAGGGAAGATTCACTTAATGGACCGCTTACAGCAACCAAAACTCAGCGTATTTATGACCATTTAGGTATTATATTAAGATTGACTAGACATCTGATCCTTTGATGTTGTTATTTCCTGTATGTGTGGAAATGTTTTAGTCTGAAAAGGAATATTTCTTGTTTTGGTATTTGTAACCAGGGAAATGAACTGTTAAACATTTACCAAAAAGGCTCACTGTATGAGGTAACCTCCAAGCAGAAATATATTTTGGGTATCTTGGATTTCCTGTTCACCTACCAGTGAGGGAAAGTCCTCTAGGTTTACAGTAATTAGTGGGTGTGTACCAGCATCAGATCAGTCTTAGCATTCTGTATAGTATGTATGTATGTATACTCTATGCAAGGGCGTCACTTTGTGTTGAAAAGTGGTGGGGGCAGATTAAGGGGCTCAGATTAGTGGTGTGAAGAGACACTTAGCTCACGAGACATAACGATACGTGATATTAGGTTCACGAGAACGAGACGAAAAGATCCCTAAATACTGTTTTACAGGTATACTCAATGCTGAGTTAGAGGCGCGGGGGGTCTGTGGGGACCTCCCTCAGGTTATTTTGATCATTAAAGACTTAATTTCTTGGATTCTGGTGAAAGTTTCTGCACCAATTTATGGTGGAGATGTTTTTATTTATGATAAAGGAAACACAATAATTCCGGTAGCACGTTACATTTCAAAATATATAAATATAACAGAATCCAAGTCAGTGCAGCTCTCAGTCCTTCTGTGCTGCTTTCACATCTGTTTCTCCTGAACATCAACTTTTCTCATGTAATATCATCCCTGCTGAGGCAGCACAGATGTTGGCATGATTTAGTCTTCCCACCTGTTTTGTCATGTTCACAAGGAGAGGATGGAAAACTTGGTCAAAAAGAAAGCATGTTAAGAAGTTGTTAAAGTTCACATTTTTGGGTCATTTTATAATCAGTAGCTTGTTTAGTTTTTTAGCTGAAGTCTCTTTTTTTTGGACATTTGTTTCTTCTATATTTTAATTGCATTGCATGTTTTCTTAATGTGCAAATTAACTTTTCTAAAGGCACGTTCATTTATTATTTACCTGCAAGCTATATTTCAGAATATATTTTTTAAGAACAAATTATGCTTTAAAAAAGTGATGGGGACAATATCAGCTATTTCAAAAAGTGGTGCGGACATGTCCCCAGTGTAAATGACACCTATATGTAAATGCCCTGCACTCCCCTAAAATACAGCATCTTCATTGAATTTTAAACCCCAAATCTATTTTTGCATGAAGATGTCATTCATCAGAGATTTTGGATTTCTGGATTTTCGCTCCTCATAGTGCAGAAAGACTGCATTTAACATCATTTTAATTACAACACACTTGTCATAATTGTTTTCTTTACGAAAGTAGAGGTTTATTATTAGTATTGCTAAAGGTACTACATAGGCGTAAACATATTTTTTTCACAACGTCTACAATGTGCCTTCAGGTGTGCATTTTTGTCAGTTAGTTGTCGCGGCCTTGTATAAATAAGCGCGAGCTGCAATTGTTCAACCGGAGTCTTACGATGGAGCATTAGTGATATAAGTGTTTTTTCTTTTTTCTTACTGATAATATGTCATTATTTAAGTACCTTAACTGTTACAGTAAGAATTATGGCCACTGTTGAATGGTAAAAGTTTTCAAAATAAATGACAAATGTTATTATCAAATTTAATTAAGTTTTCCCTGGTAGACCGAAAACATACTAAAACTATGACCCCAAAACCGAAGTACAGTGTCTGAGTAGCACAAGGGATGTACCCAAATCCGTCAAATAATGGCATGGAAATGTTAGTTGAACAGATCCAGATAATGATGTCTCTGTACGCCTCTAAGTGGCACACATATTCTCAATTAATCATAGTGTGTGCATGTAAGTAAAGTATTTTTTAACTGCTGGGTCAAAAATGGCCCAAAGACAATCTTTGAGAATATAATAACATATATTTAACATGCTTTTACCAATGTGAATTTTTATGGGGAGAGAGGGGGGGTTAGCTCCACACTTTAAGTGTGTGCATGTGTGTGTCCGGCTAGGGTGGAGGTGGTGGTAATGGGGTCACACTTACCTGTTTTAGTTCCATGAAGATGATGGCGCCCATCAAACCAAACACAGGAAACTGATTCGGCTTAACAGAGTAATCACTGGCGCCAGACGTGGCAGAGGGCATGCGTCTGTGTCTCTGACTCTGTGTGGAACCTCCAGATAGCAAACAAATACCAACAGTGACAAAATCATTTTATTTTATTTATGATTTTAGATATCCTGCCTTCATATGATGCTCATCAGTTATATGACTTGCCATGATGTAAACAACACATTTATTTATTTCAGATTTAGTCCTTGACTCTAAGCAGAGCAGGGTTTACTTTGATTGTAGCTGGATGAACCATTTACTACAACATTTGAAGAAATATTAGATTTCCATAGCAAACCAATGTGAGTTGCTCAAAAGTCCTGTCCTTTTGAAATATCCTTAAATAATAATGGTTTTATCCTTACGTACATTTCAAATCCCTAAAATAGATCATGGCAATAAATGAGCTCATGCATAATACACAACAATAGTTTTCACCATGGTTAAGAGAGGTGATTGTTGATCCTGAAGTCTGTTCATTCAATGTGTTTGTCAGTGAAAACTGCTCAAGTCAGCCTTTAATAAGACTTTGCTCTTAAATGACATGTTGAATAAAACAATTAACACAGAGAAATAACATCTACTTACCCAGTAGTGTTTGCTGAAAAGAAATGATGTGGTTTAAAAGTACTTAGTTCTAATATGAAGTCTCTGTAGTCGGTGTTTAAAGTACATTAAGTTGTTGCTCTTAGCAACTACCTCATTAGGGTGGGTCGTGTGACCTGTTGTCATCCATTATCTTATAACGGGCTTGTTTAGACTACAGAGACAAAGAGGCAGAAAGAGAGGGAGGACTGGAGTGTGTGTGCCTTTTATAATTTGGTGTGGCTCCAGTCTGACACCTCTTAAATGGCTGTCATCAGAAACCATATGTTACACACACACACACACACACACACACACAGTATTTAGTAGTAATAGGCCTCTAAGCAGTAATCTGTCTACAGCTAAATCCTCTTCTCTTTAAATAGCCGGGGCCCCCAAACAGCCAGAAATGACCTGCTCTTTTGCTCTTTTTGTCTATCTGAATATGTGGAAAGATGAAAAATGACTGCTTGGCCCACATGCTTGTTGTGTTTACCAACACTTTATTTATTATCATATTATGTCCATAGAATAGTAGATTTGCATGTATTTGTAATTGTCTATGTATTTGATATTTCACAGCAGGTGTAGCTGTTAGTAGGTTTTTCTCTTAAAGAACTTTACGAGAAGGAGTTAATGAGTCACATGATTATTGGGTCACACAGGATAAAAAGTCTTTGCCTTGTGTAGCATTGTCAGATCTTCGCCCATATTACCATGCATGAATGAATTATCATGGTTTGGGGTTCGACTTTTATTATTTCCTGTTTTATTTTGAAAGTGTCTTGTGTAATGTCGCTTCCTGTCTTTGTGTGTGTGTGTGTGTGTGTGTGTGTGTGTGTGTGTGTGTGTGTGTGTGATTGTCTTCCTCACCCTAATTACTTTCACCTGTCCCTCGTTACGCTGGGCAGGTAGTGTATAATAAATCAAATGCTCTGACACAAAAATTGCACTGATGCAGGACTGCAATAAGCACGGCCAGTCATTTCATTCGATCTGAATTTTTCTCCAACATTGACTACCGTAGCTTTAACGAAGAAATGAAAAGTACTGAATCTTAAAAGTAATTAAGTGAATCAGTAATTTTCTGCATCAGAGGGGGAAACATTTGAAATAGGTATCTTCTTTATGAATACTGTAATTATTAGTAAGTATCACAACCAAGGTTATTATAGTTTTGGATTTAGACTTTTTGTTTTCAGTTTTCAGATTAGTTTTAATTCATTTTTAATGTGGGTTTGCTAGTTTAGTTTTTATTTTTGTAAAATGCTTAGTTTCAGTGTTAGTTTTAGTCTTTGTCGCTGCACGATGCCAAGCTCAGTCCACTTTACTTTTTTCACAAAACATTCAAAATTAAAATAAAGTGCAATCAGAATTATTTGTTTAAAGGAACACCCTTTTTTAAGCCATCTGAAGCTTGTACATAGGGGCCCAAACACTAAGCAAATAAATATATATATATATATTTGAAGTACTGACACATTGTCTAAATAAATACTACAAATAAATGAAGCACATGCGATCTACAGCTACATTGAAAACATGTTCAAATCCCACCAACTACGCTGCTGATCCCTGCCTCCCCCTAACGTTACATGGGGCTCTCCTCATAACAGCGGTCGCCGCCTGCGACGCTGCAGCCAGACGCCGCCCTGACTCTCTTGACGGACACGCAGCGTGCCAGCTCTTCACGCGGAGGACAAAAGCATAACACACCCGCAGCTCAGCAACGGAAGGATGGCGGTTCAATCTCCAGCTCCTCCAGGTCAAAGTGTCCTTGGGCAAGATACTGAACCCCGAATTGCCCCTGGTGGCTGTTCCGCCAGTGTGTGAATGGTGAATGCGAGGTAGCGTAAAAGCACTTTGAGTGGTTGAAAAGACTAGAAAGGCGCAATACAAATATGGAGCATTTAATTTTTACACCAGCCACTAACAGTGTTGGGCAGTAACACTTTACTGTAATGTTGTTACTTTTCCCAGTAACTAGTAGTGTAAGGAATTACATACAGCCGGTAGCTCCTTCAAACTTCGCTACACTTTTGTTTTTTATCTGGTTTTTTTCGGCTTTATTGCCAAAACACGTGTTACCTCTGACATAAGTACAGTCATTGGAAAATTAAGACGGGGTTTTTGGATTAAAGAGCAGCAGAGCTCGATCCACCCGGCCTAAACAATGGGACCAGGCGTCACGGCGGGTGCAGTGATCGCTCAGAGGAGAGGAAAGAGAGCCGGGAGAGGAGCCATGTTGGCCCAGCTTGGACTTAATTCTGCTCCTAGAGACGCGGTCTGGACAAAATTGGACTCATGTTGACCAAACAACAGAATTCAGAGACTGTTCGTTACAGAGACCTGCCCCGTCAACATCCCGGATCAAGCACTCGGCAAGACTCGACAAGATGAGAGGAAGTGGACTTCAGACTGATGCTTGGTGCTCAAACGCAGTCAAGATGGACTCTGTTTCCCAAATGTCAGACTGTTTATTGTGAAGATGAAACTTTCTTATTATTATCTGGTTGCTGCCGTTTACATTCACCCCATGCAAATTCAAAAAAGTACTGTGGAATTTTCGGGTTGTATACGTGTCAGTATATATGTACATAAATAACTGTATAGTTTTATTTTGTTGTATATGTTACCGTATTTCAATATAGGCCTACATTTAATTATATGTTGTGTGTGTAGCACGAAGGAACTACAAATTTCATTATGCAGCCTTGTGCTGTATAATGAGTAATAAACAACTTTGTACCTTGTACTATTTCCAAAACAGTAATAATATTACAGTTTCTAATCCAAGTAACTCTGCGTTACTGAGCGCACCATCCTTGATGTTAATGTGCGACCGCGCTGCAGGTCAGCAGCACGGGATGTTATGTTGTTCAAGTCAGCTGTTAGCCAAAAAGCTAATGGAAGAATGGAGAACGAGGGAGAGAGGTGTTCTTTCCACAGCTGGAAGTGGCTGCCACTATGCTGTCACAGTCTAAGATGTAAAGAACATTGTCGTCAATGGGAAACAAAAAAAAGCTTTCAGCCTCGAAGAATTTAATCTAATTTACTGAAGCATGTGTCAGTGAAAGTAATATAGTAAAGTCTACCAGTCATAACCCAGTTATCAGCCAGTAATAAGTAAAATATTATTATTACTAACCTACAAATATGAGAATATTAATAGATCTTATCTGAAATCTTAAATTTAACGGAATTCATGAGCATGTAAATGGTCTTTCAATGCCCACTTTGCAGGTTCTTTAAACAAGTCCAAAACTCTTGATCCTTCAGCTTTTCTTAGTCTAAGAAAAAACACACCCAATTCATGTACAGTATCTGCCAAACTTGTCATTCTGCTCCACAGACTTTCAAAATATTCAAAAAACCCCAAATTGCATAAGAGCTGCAGTGAATGGGCCTTTGGTCCTGGGGTTGTGTGTTTGCACATGTGAATGTGTCTGTGTTTGTGTGTGTTTAGAAGGTCACGGAGAGCATTTGGGGTCAGAGTGTTAAAACAGGCAAGACAAAAAGTTTGTGACCTTTGACCCTGGCTTGTGCCTGGGTCAAAAAGTGTAGATTCTTCCTGCCGAACACACACACACATGCACACAAACACATACACACCTCCCTTGTTAATGGCTCTGTCATGTCATCTATTTCTGGGTTGTGTCTTTGGTATAAATAGATTCACCTTTGCCCTAAGACACGGCCAATCAGAGGAGCTATTCACAATACACACACATGCACTCAAATGATGAACACATATTGCGTGTACCTTTTTCAGTGAGCACCGATGCCCTTACTTGAATTTGTTTTTTGTCACACGTCATCATCTTGGTCCTTTTTATCATCTTGTTTATTTCGTAACAAAATATTCTGTAAATATTCATGATCAGAGTAGTTGATGATTCTCGACAAACTGCTGTTAAAATAAGCTCCAAAAGTTAAATAGATGGATTATCGATCAAGCTGTACTGCACACATACAAAGACTGATCAACTTCTAATTAACAGACGTGCCCAACTAACAGACCTCTGCTTCCACCTGGATTTAAACTCTCCAGTGTAGTTTGGTTCATCATCTTTTTTAGAGTGCATTTAAAGTTTAAAAAAAAATTGTTTTAGTTTATCTTATACTCAGTATGGTTTTGTGTTCATTTTTTTCCATGTCAGAGGTAACTCTACTGTATAGTAAAACATGTATTTTAAGGGAGAGATTGAGATTGAGATTAAAAAATAAGGGAAATTTTCCGGCACCTCCCCGGCGCACGGTGAAAGGAGTATAGCCTATAATTTAACATTACATTAAAACTAATTTCATAGTATATATCTTTGTGTAAGAAAAACAGTCTACATTGGTCTGTAATTTATTAATGCAAAGTAGCCTACATGTAAATAATCACAACCATTCATGCAGAACTATTACGGCAGGTTGTTGCACAGACGTTTTTAGAGGAGACA